CCTCCCCTTAATCTCTTCAAAGCAAAAGAAGAAAAATAGCCGCACAATTGATGGCACATGAAGACATTCTATACGCCTAAGTTCGCATGCGGCGGCCGCTCCTTGTTGCAAACGATAGCGAATGAAATAACCCTAGCGGCGGAAACCATCACTAGAGAGAAGCAGGAGTAATTGTAATGAATTATAGTAGAAGCATTTTTTAAGAGTAGATAGACACTCTCATAATAATGATTATACATCACATTTTAAGATGTATAATCATTGGGGATCCGGCCTTTTTCTCAGGGGGTGTAACTATTTATGATTTCAGTGGACATTTGATATGATCGTGCAAATTTCACGGGACTTGTGTGGGTTTCAATGCAGGATATTTTGAGACATATAAACTTTTTATTAAAATTATTTGTAGCCTTAAAAATGATATTGTATATTTTCAAAAATACCTTCACTATATAATTTTAATGTAGAACATAATAATGATTACAATAGTAATCGTGATACTGTATTAATTTGAAATACACACAATTACATTGACAGCTTCAAATGCACGAAAATAATGGCCTTCCATGAATACAAATATGTTTTGTGCAATAAAAAATGCAAATTGCAATCAACCCATCTTAACTTTCATATTAGAACATCACATGAAATGAATTAGTTTATAACATCATTTCACAAAGCAGTTGTTATTGTGCCATGCATTTGCACTTGCTCTTTGTTGTTCTTGGCTTTCGAAAAAATAAGGGATAAGGGTCAGATAGGGCCTCGAACTCGAAAAAAAATGTCAAATAAGGTCATATTTAGGATGCTCTGTCCGGCCGACGCCATTTGGGGCAGTTCCCGATGGAGTTTTTTGATGAAATTTTTTGAGCATCTTCCTCATTAAGTCTAGTTTACCCATACCAAATTTCAGCTACAAATTCAACCGGGAAGGTAGTCAAATAAGTTTCCGAAATGTACTGCGTTGTTTAACTTCATAGTTATCTTCAAAAAATCATTTGACTACCTTCCCAGTTGAATTTTTAGCTGAAATTTGGTATGGATAAACTAGACGTAATGAGCAAGATGCTCAAAAAATTTCATCGAAAAATTCAATCGGGAATCGCCCCAAATGGCGTCGGCCGGACAGAGCATCCTAAATATGACCTTATTTGACATTTTTTTTCAAGTTCGAGGCCCTATCTGACCCTTATCCCAAAAAATAATCATCTTCCACTTCAGCAAGCCATCACATGAATCATTTTCATCTTAGGGATCAACTGGAAATTTATCAAAGCGGCATTCTATTCATAAAAAGTTGTGCAATCTAGGGGCAGTTGTGCGAAAAGGGAATCCAGGGGCTGTTTTGAAAATGACGAACCTTGATTTGAATATACCAAATATTCTTTCAACTACATTTCTCAATGAAACATGTTGAAGATTAAAGAGTTTCTTTGAATTGTTTGGACCATGTCCTTGACCAACAAAATCTTGTAGATGATAGTGTCAACCTCGAAAGGGGGCTACGAATTGGGGTCTATTTGGATAACCATAATCGGCAAGTAAGTACATTCCAACAAAAATGCACAATATTAATAAAAAGAATTAATAATTATTATTATACTAATCATAGTATTCATAATAAATTAATAATATACTCCGCGAATAATACTAGTGATATGACAAACATATGAATAATATATTTAGGTGTATATACATAGAATTTTTAGTCCATTTTTTCTTGTCAAAGCATTGGTGAGAACTTTTGAATTGTTGATCCCTCCCACCCACTCAACACTTTCATAAATCGTAGATCAAAGTTACAAGTGGCCAAAACATTTTGTGACATAATGGTGTTTTCTGTAGCTATTTGTTTCATGCCGTGTTATCATTTTCGATATTTGTGTACGAATTGGTCCAATACAATCCTTGAATGAGGAATATAATCAACTATTAAAATGTTCTCTCAAGAAATGTGGGAGAGATTTAAACTATAGTTCCTAGTTTAAACTATGAGTAAAATCTGGTACTTTCTCTTGTTTTTTCTGCCACTGTAGTTCCTAGTTTCGATATCATTTTTACTGCAAATCGAAGAAGTGCCTTCAAAACCTTATTGAAATTTAGACTAGCAGTGAAATGTGACCTTTCAAATGTTTTTTGTACTTGAAAATACCTATTACTCTTGCCGACAATAAGCAAGAACGTTGCTAGCATTTCCTCAATACAAATATATTTGGGATCTCCTAGTAGTTGTTTCTCCCTAAATATGCGGCATAATTTCAAGACCATATCTGGATACATTCAATGAATATATCGGAAATCTCGTGGATCTTCCTTGAGAATTTTATGAATGTAGTCATCTATAGTTTTTGGTCTTCTCCTAAGTGATTACTTATGAACATGTTTCCTGTACATGTTAATTACTTGCAAACTTATCATGTATATGGTTATCTTGATCACCACACATACATAGCTAATACTTTTATATTATTCTTGTCTAGTCTCGTCTTCTTCCATCTCCTCCACGTCAATATCAGTACCTTCATGTATATGATCATGTGACATAATCACATTAAAAAAATTGAAATAAATTAACCACGAGAATAGGTGAATATGGACATTATCAAACATTCAATGCTCACTTAAACAAGAAGTCCCACACTCATAAAATTAATAACCAAGAAATGAGCACAAAAATAATCCAAAGTACACACAACATTCAAATAAGTTCTCAACTTCAATCCGTAATGCTAATCTACCTGTCATCTCAATTTAAAAGTTATCCCCTCAACACGGTCTTGTGGAGTCATGTTAAAGAATTAAGATTTCTTTGTTTTGGTATTCAGCAAATCAAAAGCCCTAAAGTCATCATCAACGCATGGTCATGGGACCTTCTTTATCACATCCCAACAATTATACACCGATTCAATAACACAAGTAAGTTTGTCCACATTTTATGTGAGCTTTTCTATGAAATCATGTGTGCCTATTAGATTATCAGTTCTGCCCGTTATCGCTAACCCCGCAATAATGTAGTTTAGTCTGACAGTCTTGTTGCTCTTCTTGCTACTCCGAAGAGAATAAAAAATTACAACTAAAAGATCCAGCTTCACCAGCCACCGGAAAGGGAGAATTGGTTTGACCAGCAACCAATCAAGGAAAATAAGTTGAACATAAATTTTCCGAATCATCGATTTCACCAGCCACCGAAAAGGAGATCCAATTGGGTGTTTTCTTCTTCCCAGAGCGAGGCGGTGGTTCAGGTGGTGAGCGAGTAATTGAAGCATCAAAACAACAAGGTTGAAAAAGCTTTACCAACCATGAACAACGAAAATTCACCACATGTTAGGTGAATAACATACCACATGTTCACATGAAGCGGACAAAATTCTCGGTCAATGAAGAAGGTGGACCAAAATCCTCAAAAATAGAAATTAAAAATGAGCGAAAGTATAGAAGAATATGTGATTTGATTTTTCATTGCAAAGAGAATGTCACAATCTTTCAAAACTTTTTGCTGATTGAAGAAGAAAAGGCTGGAAAGTCATATCTTGAAGAAGGTTGGGGATGAGTGGATGACCGCTTAAGGTTTACCCCAGGGCCAGCTCTTCACAGTTTGCTGCTCTCTTATTAAACATTTTCTTATGAAATCTAATACGAAGCAGTAAAAAACAACATATTATTTTGTATTTTCACTTTTTATACATATAAAAATTATATATATTGAACAATGTAAAAATTAGGTTCCCTTATATGAGTATAATATATTGTGACATTTATTTACTTATTTCTCCATATATCACTAGAAAATAGTAATTGTCAATAAAAATGTAAAACATCTTTTCATGTCCATGCTTCGCTTATTCCTGCCCAGATCAAAGGCTTGAGGCTTGGCCTTGACGCCTCGCCACGTCTTATAAAACATTGAGGCTTGGCAAGAGCATGGACACTACCATTCATTTATTGTCTAGTAAAAACAAAAGTAATTGCTCTAAATAAGACTATCAAGTATCAACATGCGTAAATAGGACGATATGTCTATAATTCCCTAAATAGGATTTATTTGATACTATTAAAAGAATAAAATTTCATTAATTGAGTTTCTATGCGTCTTATTTTAGGAAGGGACCACTAGTGATGTGCATTTTGTCAATGTTGTAGTTCTATTTAGGAATTTACTATTCAAAATTTGTAACATGGTTTTGCATATTCTTATACTGTAATAAATACTACGTAGTATAGCATATACTTCCTATGTCCCTTATAACTTCCTCCGTCCCTTATAACTTTGATAACTTTTTTTGTCACACTAATTTTTGTCACTTTCCCTTTTAAATAAAGAATTTGTGATTTATGTAAATTCTCTCTCCTATGTACAATTTCAACCATACAATTTTACTTTATACAGAGTGACAAAGGGAGTATTACATATACAAATTACAACATGTCTAACGCACACAGAATTATATTTGTACATGTTTGTTACGCATTTAATATTCCTTTACACAGACAATGTTGTATGTTAAGTTAGACAACAAACAATAGTAGTATCTTTTGAAAGAAAATTCAATTTCACAAATAAAAAAATATGTGACATGGGCCAGGCCGGTCCACCAAATGTTGATCCCGTAGCCCACCTATTGAATCCTCCGGGTCGGGCCCCAATACCGGTCCTAGCTCACCAGGCCGGACCTGCACAGTACCAGTTCGGGCCGGGTCCCGGGTCGGACCGGCCCGTCCCAGTCCACCCCTCGGCGGAATACATTTTGAAGAAGGATAAGGAGGGGGTGGAGGGTAAAAAAATGGGACCCTGTCAAGGGATGGACCCGGGCCGGGCCGGTTCCGGTTCCGGGCCGGGCCCGGGCGGGCTTTTTTTGGGGATTGTTGGGCCCGGAACCGGCCCGGGGTGATACCGGGTCCGGTTCGTGCCGGGTCGACCCGGTCGGGTCCGGGCCGGGCCCGGGCTTTAATTTTTTTTTTTTTTTTAGATACCAAAATTAAATTAATATTACTTGGACATAAAAAAGGGTAAAACATATTTATTTGATATTTGTAGTACAATTGAAAATTGAGCAAAAATAAAAACATGAAATACACTTTATAATAAGTAATGAAGTATGAATCAATTAGAATTTCCTCCATCTTCAGTTGTTTCTTCCATAAAGTGACGAGTGAGTTCAATGCTTATTTCTTGAGTTCTACGTTTGGCCTTCAACCAATCGTGGAAGCAAACAAGCGTCTCAAGAGAGTTTGCGCTTAATCTCGTTCTATAATCCGTTAGGACGTTGCCGGCCGCACTAAACTCTTGTTCCACAGCAACTGTTGATACCGGCATTGCTAGCACTTGCTTAGCCATCTTTGATAAGATCGGGAACGTTCTCTCTTTTTCCTTCCACCACTGAAGAACGTCAAAGTCATCCCCTTCTTCATAATCAACAGGAAATGTTAGATACAAAGAAAGCTCGTTGATCGAGCTTTGTTCATTAACCGGAGTTGATTTACTTTTTTTCATAAGATTGCCAAATGCAGATTTGAAAATTGATTTTCCTTTAGATGAAGAAGATGTTCGTGGCGGGGGAGGGGGTGCGTTACCATATTGTGCATGAAACTCATTAAATAATTGATATAATAAATTACTAACCTCTTGGAATTGTTGTTTAGGGTCTATGGCCTTGTCGTCGTACATAGGCAATGGACCAAAAAAAGAAGCATAATAGTAATCTAAACATTTCTCCAAAGAAGCAAGTCTAAAACGAGGATCAAGAATAAATGCAATACCATATATATGCGGAATATAGGAATAATATTTTAAAAACTTTTGTTTCATGAAGTCACAAAAATAACTAACGTAAGCGGCGTCAGAGAATTCAGAAAAAGCGCCGGCGAGATTAACAGCTTCAACAAAAAATTGGTTTGCGGTAGGTTTATAAACATGACTAAAAGTTTCAGTGGCATTATTAAAAAACACCAAAACATTCACAATTTTTTCACAAGTGTCGATATCGGCCGGGTTTATAATATAGTTAGCATATTCTCTTAAAAAAGCGGGAAAATGGTTTTTATATCTAATAAGCACTTTAATTAAATTATAAGTACTATTCCAACGAATAGACAAATCTTTAGGAAAAGCACAATATTTGACACGTCTTTCTTTCAAATAATTTCTCCATTGCATCTTAAGTGGATTACTAGCCCAAATCAGTTTAATCCCCCCCTTGACCACCTCCAAAGCATCTCCCAACGCCGCAAGACCGTCCTTTACACATAAATTTAAAATATGACATGCACAACGCTGATGAAAAAACCTACCCATCAAAGAAGATGAACCACACAATTCACGCAATCTAGGAATAGCCGCAGTATTATTAGTTATTATCAAAACCAATAGCAAACACCTTATCAATCAAATTATACTCAACTAAAATACGCTCAATGAGAATATAAATATTATCGCCGGTGTGTCGATCATTAAATTCACGAAAAGCAAGAACACGTTTATGCATACATCAATCATCATCAATATAATGTGCAGTCAAACCCAAATAATATAAATGATGATGAGTATCCTCCCATATATCACTACATATGCTAACACGGCCATCAAAGTTTGCGAAAAATATTTGTAATTTTTCCTTTTCCAAAACATATTGCCTTATAACTTCTTTTTTAATTGTTTTGCGACTATAGTTTCGAAATTGAGGATTTAAAGTACCTTGAGCATATTCTTTTAAAGCAAGACTTTCGGAAAAAATAAAAGGCAAATTTTCTTCAACAATCAAATGCGACATACCAGTCAAATGTCTTTGATCATCATAGGAGAAATTACCGAAGGGTTGGCCACTTCCAAATCTTGAAATTTGTGTTTGCTTTCCCTTGCCTTTGTCTGATTTCGCATATTCCGCCGGGTGCTTGGCCTTAAGATGCCTTGTGGCGCTCCCGTACCCTCCAGAAGTTCCCAAGTTATACTTCTTTGGGCAATGCTTGCAAGTGGCGTACCATATCTCGGTTTGGGGGTCTTTAAATTTTGTAAAATTTGCCTTAAAGACTGATTCAGCTTTCTCACCGCCTTGGGAAGAAGTAGCCACTTCCGCTTGCTCTTCATCATCGTACGGTGTGCCATGAACCTCGTGCTCGACCGTTTGCGGATCCCTCTCCTCCGCATCATCATCCTCGAGCTCTTCTTCGTCAATGGTCGGGATGTTTTGTTGATGGAAGAAGGCCCCTTGATTTTGTCGTAATAGTTGTTCTACTTGCTCATCGGACATCGCAGACCCATATCTTTGGTTATAATCCGCATCAAAATCATCTCGGGTTTGAGATGAAGCCCCGGCCCGTCCCTTACCTTTGTGCAAGCTTGGATGATTCCTCGCAATCTCCTTTGTTCGGTTGCGGCGGAGGTTACCCATATCTACTGAAGCTCTACCACGTTCCATCTTAAAAATATAACAAATATTAAATTCGAAGTACAATTAAACTAGTGAATTTCAAATACAAATCTAACAAATCGAACTACAATGTAACAATTAAATTCGAACAATTAAATTGACTAGAATGTAACAATTAAAATGTACCAATTAAATTAACTTTTATTATAAAATTTGAACAACTTCAATATAAATAACAATTAACTAGTTCAATAGGAGAAATTTTAACTAGACATTAAATGTAACAATGCAATGAAATTTAGAGGAGAATAATAAATGTAACAATGAATTAACTATTTTGATAGGAGAAATTTAACTACTTTTATATTAAGTGTATAAGTAGATATAGTAAATATATATATTTAAAAGTAGTTAATAAGTAGATTAACTAGTAATATATAATATTATGTTTATAGTATATATAATATAAATATATGACTATAAGATGAGGAATACACTTAATATATTAAGTAGATAAATTTTCGAACAACTATAATATAATTAACAATTAACTAGTTTGATAGGAGAATAATAAATGTAACAATTAACTAGTATTAGAGGAGATTAAGAAATGTAACAATTAACTAGTTTAACAAGTAAACAATTAATTTCGAATTCTTGTCTAACAATTTTTAATGTAACTATTTCCAATAAACTAACAACTACCAATTAACCACTTTTATAGCAATGAACTAATACTAAAAGTCTAAAATGATAAGTGAAACAATTAACAACTTTTATATTAATGAAGAATGTATTAGTGTGTAAACAAAATTAATAAGTAGATAATATTATGTTGATAGTATATATAATATAAGATGACTAACAAGATGACTAACACACTTATATATGTAGTAAATATATATTTATAAGTAGATAATAAGTAGATAATATTATGTTAATATTACTACAAGATGACTAACACACTTATATATTATACTTTAATATATAAGTATATTACTATAAGTTGAGTAATACACTTATATATTATACTTTAATATATGTATAACTAATATAAGTATATATTAAGTATATGTAATATGTGAATATAAGTAAATAAATATACTTATATAAGTAACAATAATATAATAATTAGATATTAATATAAGTAGATAATAAATTATATAAATATAATAGATGTAGTAATAAATTTGAGAAATTGAGAAGATGAAGATGGGAAAGATTAATAGAGAATAGAGATTAGAGATTTAGAGAGTAGAGATATTTGGAGAAGATGTGTAGTAAAGTGTATAGAAAAAATGGAGTATTTATAGATATTTAGTACCCCACCCCCCCACCCCCCAACCCGGGACCCCCTGGAAGGCTCCCAACGGCTATAGAGCCGTTTGGGTTGAAAGCCAACGGCCATAAGGCCTGTTTGGCTGAGAAACAAAATTTTTTTTTTTTTTTAAAAAAGTAACCGTTAGGCCCGACCCGGGCCCGAACCGGCCGGGCCGGGCCACCAAACAAATGAACCGGACCCGAACCGCCAAACCCCCCCGGGCCGGGTCAAAGCCCGAACCGGTTCACCAGTCCCGGTTCCGGGCCGGGCCTGCACAGTGGCGGGCCGGGCCGGTTCCGGGCCGGGCCGGCCCGGTTGAGTCCATCCCTAAGTCCCTGTCCATGCTATTGTCCAACAGACCAACAGTACTCCATTTAAATTTTGAATTCTAATGATCTTTTTGTACCAGACAATTTTTTTAGGACATGACCAAGCACTAAATTTTGTCCTGCACAAACAAATTTAGTCCAAGCGCAAAATTCATAAACGAGCATCACAGGTGAATAGAGAATAGGCAAGATTAGATGCTAGAGAATTGCTGCTTTTCTGAAACTGGTTTGTCAAATGAAAGTCTAATACCGTGATAGAAAAATACACAAAGACAATTTAGGCAATTACATTGAGACAAGCTCGATAAAAGAAATGCTACATTTGTAATACATTATCTGTCAATGAAAATTAACAACATACAAAAGGAAACATAACCCATCAGGCAACTAATTCACAAGTACAATAAATTAAAAATTAGAGTAGCCAGGGAGTCTAACGTGTAACGTAGGTGGTCCTTTTCATCTATCCCGCGAGCTTTGCTCCCGTTGGTTTGAAACAGTCAATATTGCATAATACAGCTGACCTCATCATACCACCAAAGCTGCAACAATGAAAATCAAATGCTTGACTGTCATTTTTGTCTAAAACTCCAAATACTGAAGTTTTAAGAGTGTGTTTAGGTCCTGTAAATGCTAGGGAAATGAAAATTTGATACAGATTTTTATTTTCTCATAGATGCCTTTAAGGCAAAAAATGCATAGAAAAAGAAACATTGCATATGTTTAGCGCAATGGAAATGAGTTTGAACAAATACCAGTCATAAAATTATTACGTTTTGACAAATGTTTTATTTTCTCTCACAAATTTCTTTATATTTTATTCCATATTTTCTTTCACTAGTAATATCAAAGTTTCAAACGGATCCTAAAGCAGAGATGAAAGTAAAAATTACTCCATACATTTTTAACCAATTAAGTATATCATACCGGTCTATACTATTCCTTGCTTTCTCTGATGGTTCTGTATTGGAAGTTGGCTTTTCAGCTTGATCTACACTTTTACGTGTTTTATCTCTCCTATCAACACTATTTCTTGATTTATCTCTGAAGTCTATACTTCTTTTGGGCTTCTCCCTCTTTTCTGTACTTGGCCTAGAAGTTGCGGTGGTCTGGACACTGCTTTCTCCGGGTCCACTACAATCAATACTGTTTCGAGGATTCTCCATGACTTCAATGTTTGGGGGTCCATCTCTTTTTGAATGTAATGATTTCTCGATAGCCGAGACAAATTTCTTGAGATGTTTAATGTATTCAGGGTAGAGCTCCAAGTCACAATGATTACCTCCCTTAACCCACAGTGGTTCATATTTCTGTTTACAAAGTTCCCAAAGCTGCTTCCCATGGGAACAGTCCACAACATCATCAGCAGTTCCCTTTGAGGTTAAAAAAACAGGCAAGTAAGCAAATATTAGCATGCAACTTCAATAAGAACTAAAATGCTTGATTACAATAAAGCACGTGTCTTTCAAGAGACAAAATGGATAACCCTCCATTTTTCACAGTTTTGCGGGATGTTATAGGGGAAATGGTGCATTTCCTTAACAGTAATGTACTAAAAGTATCTCAGTGTTTATATGAAGGAATGTCAGTGTATGCATGTTGCCTAAGCACTAGAGTTCTGTTCGGATGGGGTTTTTTGGAGGGCTAATCTGGATCTTGATTTATATTTAAGATTTTATAGAATTGAAGCAATATAGTACAAAGAAACAGGTAATCATATATTCATATAACAATATAACATTTGAATCAGCCTTTGTTCATCTTCAGAAACATATACTCCGTATTTAATAAGTTATACACTTAGGCTAAGCCTTCAAAAGTCTTCAAACTCCAAACCCCTCTAGACAAACAGACCTTTAGGTTATAAGAACTAAAAATCCCAATTATTTATGAAGAAACTCAGGAGTAGATATAAACTCACATGTATAATTAGAACAGGGCATTCAACTAAAGGTATCTTGTCAACATTCTGCATCACAGATGAACAATGATGTATTAAAAATATCAGTCCAACTCTGGAGTCTCGACTTAAATGTACCAACTATATTAGCATGTGCAACATAAGTGCCTTGAAGAGAACATACTGACCTTATATATGTCAAACCAATATGTCCTCTTCACATGATACATTACCCTCAGTCCGGACATTATTGGACTGTGCAAAACTATAGCCCGTAACCTGGGAGAACGGGATGCCAAATCTATAGTTGGTCCACTGCCAACAGACTGTCCGTATAATATTATGTCTTCTTCTTTCACACCATACGTCTCTTCAAGACATCTATATGCAGCTTCTATATCAGCGTAAGTGTTCTCCTCACTTGGCTATAAAAAATGAAAATAAAAATAGAGTTCAGCAAAAATCGTCTCAACCCCATCAAATAAATATATTAATCAATTTCTTTCCCTCTTACCTTGCCGGTGGACTGTCCATACCCCGAATAATCATACCTACAAGTGAGAAGAAACAAACAGAATCATATTTGAACCTCTAGCGATGGGAAGGAAAAATTTAGAAGATAAGTTCAGTAACATCCATATAGGTTAAAAAGTAAGTCAATGGCTACTTATCATATCTGTGTACAAAATAGAGCCGTAAGCAAGTGTCCAGTAACATCCATATATTTAATGTTGACGCGCTTTTCCTAGTCGCTTCATCCAACGTATATAAGAAAGCACAAATCCATAAAATTACTGAAATGATTTCCAGAAATGGAATATACAATGTTTTCCTTGTAAGCTTCATTGCACCTAACTAAAGAAAGCAACACCTTATCAACCACCCAACAGTTTCAATGTTGCAAGAGTTCAAGACTATAGGTAATTAGGAACAATTCTGAGCTAAAAAAGATCAACATAAAATCTAAGTCTTAAAAATTACCCAGATTCATAGAAGGAGCTCATATCTCAATCTAGAAAGAAGAAAACGGGTATAAGTGTATAACAGTCCATAACCACCTTAGAATTAGTTATAAGTTGAAAACTAGCAGCAGGCAAAGCATTTTGCCTCAGCATACTAGATATTACAAATTTACCAGTACTCTTTGACTAGAGTCACTAAACAAGAAAAGATTCAATTTTTATGCTGATTCAACACTCAATCTAATTTCAGTGCATTTAACTCACAAAATATGTTATTGTATTGATAATTGAACAATAGAAAGAAGCATCGGATATACCCCATCAGATTGACGCGGAGATGACGGCTTAATTCACAGAACAATCCGTACATCTGGCCCAAATCGGCGGCGTTGCCGTGAGAGTATAGCAGGGTTAGCTTAGCTGCCGGGTTCCTCACGTACAGCGCAACAACTTCCGTCCCTCTCTTGGTAGGCAACTTCAAGACATCCACGTTCTCTCTCTCCTCCACCTCCGTCATCGTCAATTTCGCGCTGGACCCCTCCATCTTCACCTCATAAGAAGCTGGA